GTATTGTCATTTCTAAAATGACATGTAATTGTGTAAATATTTTGCATTCAGTGTCTTACTGGATTTTCATTATTAAACTAATTTTGTGCTAATATTTTACAGTCTATCATTAGAGGTGCATCGTAGAAAAATATATAAATATACACATGTGTAACAGACATTCATTACACGGAGGGCATCGTTGAATATAATGCAAATATACACATACATAACAGACATTCACTTACATCCCAGGGTGATGTCTTCTAAAACCTGATAGGTGAGTTATCTTGATTTGGCAACTATTTTATTAAGAAAGTACTTAAGTACTCAACTTTCTCACAATTGTCCCTGTCGTACAATATTGTTTATGTCAATGTTAGGTAAATGTTTTATTTAAATATTAAATTTATGTAATCAAGGGGTACGTGTTTTTGTCCTAATCAATAAAAATATTATTTTTTTTTTTTGAAAAAGCCAATTTGTAATTGTAGATAAAAAAATTTTTATTTAATTTATGTAGTTCATTTTTTAAAGTATTTAGTGCTTTAAAAAGCTGTATTGTCATATTTAAGCTACTTATGTGTTAATATTTTACAGGCCAATGTGTAGAGGTGCATCGTACATCGTTGAATATTTTGTAAATATAAACATACCTACTTAAAGGAAATTCAATTTTACATCCCAGTCTGTTGTCATCCAAAACAATCTAGGTGAGTTATCTTGATTTAATATAATATTTTATAATAATTTGAATAAAAAATCTCTCAAAGACTAAAGTTTAAATGATTGAAAACAATTATAACTTATAGTTAATTGTAAATATACAAATTAAACCGGGCCTCTTGAGCACGTCCGTGACGTGAACATAGAACTTATTACTTAAGCTACCTAGTTATTACTTATTTCACTTGACCAGTAGTATGGTTCTGTTATTTCGATAACTACAATTTCGGCTTTTCGTAGTTCTTTGGGTTGAATAGGATAAACAATTTTAAGTCTTTTGACACAAATTTTAATAAAACGTGAACAATATTAAAACACTCGTAATCATTTTGTTTATGTCATTCAATATCGTTTCTAAACTCCAAATTATTTATTACGACTTGGCCCGCAATATAATCGCAACAGCTATCCATTCTAATCTCGTTTCCTGTATAATCGGCCAGTAACTATTTGTGTAATAATTACCAACCTCTAGAAAATAGAAGTCTACTTCTTCATTTTATATTCTTCATATGTGTCCTGTATTTTAAGTATTAGATATTTAGAACCTTGAGATCCTTAAGAACAAGAAAATAATCTTTGCAGGAAGTTTATCTTATTTACTGTTTAAATACTGAATACATAAGTAATTTAAATTTTCTGTGAATATTAATGACCTATACACCTATACTCATAATTTGTAATAATTGTATTGTATAATTTTAATAAAATGATGTTACATCCTCTTAATATTTGATGTAACTCAGAATCTATAAAGTAATATTTACCTTATTAAACTGTCTATACCAATGTAAATTATAGGTTGTTTACTTGTTTAAGTATGTTATTGTTCGGTTCAGTTTATTACATAGGCGGTACTACGGGGGTGGCAGAGTAGGCAACTGCCCCTCCTGTGAACCGTACCTGTATTAATACATAATTCCTTAAATCTCGGTTTCCTAACTCTAAAAATATATAAATTTTTTTTTTTCAATACGAAATTTGTTCCAAAATATCTGTGAATGATAACACACACTAAAAAAATATTTTATTATTTAATCTATTCTGTGATTTTATTATCAACGAATCCTGATAAGGTGATGTGGCCAGATGTGCGTCAAAACGTTACAACATTGCGATAGATAAGAAAAGATTCGAATTGTTAAATTGGTTAAATTTTTTTAGTTTTTTTTTTCTATAAATAAAAATAAAGTTTTATCTGTTGCGCCAAAAACTGTAAAAATGTAATACAAGGTTCCTGATATATTGTTACAGTAGCAATTGAAAAATATTAAAAATACATAGGCACAATTTTTTTTTATAATCATTTAAACATCGAATTTTGACAAAATCTCGAAAATTATCAATCATTTTAATTAATAAATTATAAAATGTTCAGTTTTTATAGCTAAAGATTGCAAATTTAAAACAAAGGTTCTCATAAATAGTTCATACTGTAACCAAAAAATCTAAAAAATATATGAACACAGTTATTTTTTACAGACATTTTAAATTCAAATTTGGACGAAATTACATATTAAAATCAATATTAACGATCTTTGTTTTTGTTGTAATTTAAAAATATTATTCGGGGATATATGAAACTGAAAAATCAAAATATTATGGCCTATCCATACAATCTACCATAGTATAAGGAATAACAATTATGCTCATGATAAGACTGTGCATATTTTAAGGAATTTATTCATAAATTCCATATAATTTAATATTTAAATACCATAGAAAAGTATATAATATGTCTAATACCTAGACTGACATACCGTCTCCGCTCAGAATCGTTTTTCTAATACAATGAATTGCATTCAAATTTAATACCATCCATTATACAGTGACCCACTTGTAACCTACAGTACAGCAGAGCGACATCCACTTACCCACCTTTATATTTACAAAATTATTCAATGAGTAAATTGGAAGGGGTTTTATTGGGGTGAAGGGGAAGTCACCCATTAACGACCCCCCCCCCCTTCCCAACATATAGTTAGATAGTTTAAAAAAATATGGCTTTGGGTGTATACTCCATAGGGCTTTTTTCAGTTCACTAATAAGTTAGCGCCGGTTATTAAGTATGCCGCCACTGCCGATGAAGTCTAGTCAAGCCTATGAATGTAGCTTCTCGAAATATCACATTTATTTGATTTTGTAAACTTGAACATCCATCTGAATACGTCTTTAACTCATTAACCTTTGCAGGTTGTATAATATCTAGGTATATGATAATATTTAATCCATAACCTTACCTATACAATCTTAAAATATTAATGATATCTACCTACTCATAAATTTTAATTATTGGTTTATATAATTTTTTTAATTTTATTTGTAAATATAATTATTTATTATTAATAACAATTACTTGTGTTTAAATTCATTCATGTTTCTTGAAGATTTTCTGGTGTTATCGATTTATAAAAAATAAAAATGATACCACTTTGGAATTTTCATAGAAATAAGCATTGAAACATTTCAACTCAAATCGGCACGAGCAGATAATTTAAGAATTAAAATATGGATCATAGTATCTGGGTAGGCA